TGGCGCAACTGGGGACGGACATCAGATCGGCAAGGTGGTTTGCCACAGCTGATGTAGTCGCGATGGCGGTTACAGAAAAGAAATCCCAGGCGCGTCTCAAAGACTGCTGGCATTTCAGCACGAGCCGAGGAGGCCCCAGGAAGCTTCAGGAGGCCCCAAGAGGCCTCAGGAGAAGCTCCAGCGACTCCCAGGAAGCCCCAGGAGGCTTCAGGAGGGCCCAGGGAGCCCCAGGTAATTCCAGGAGGCTTCGGAGGGCCTAGGAAGTGCCAGGAAGCCCCCGGGGAATCCCAGGAAGCCCCAGGATGCCTCAGGAGGCTCCAGGAGGATCCACGAGGCCCTGGGGAAACCCCGGGAAACCCGAGGATGTCCCAGGAGACCCTGGGAGGGGGCCCCAGGGGGCCCTAGGCGCTCGACGAAGTGGCGAGCGAAACATGTGCGGCGCGCCTTAGCGGGAACGCAACTTTCAGAAAACATGCGCGCGGCGCCGAAGCGAGAGCGACATTTCGCCCTGTCGCGCGCGATGTGCACCGCGCCCCCTTCCTGCCACGCATTTCGCAAAGCCGACGACAAGAAAATCCCCACTGAGAAGAAACAAGTCGACTTTGTATGGTTTTTGACAGGTCGGATGGCCCCTCCCGCTTGGGGTTGCCCCAGACGTCCGCGCGCGATGTGCGCCGCGTCCCATTCCTGCTACGCGTTTCGCATCGTCGACAATAAGAAAGTCCATGTTGAGAGAAAAGAGACGACTGAGTATGTATTTCCCCACGTGTTTCGTGGGGTTCTGGTTTTCTTCCCTGCCGCGGCGCACCCGCGTCTCCTCACCTCCACTCCTCCCTCTTCTTCCTCTCCTCACCCGCGCTCAACACATGCACGGCAAGTACATGACACACGCGTCTACATACAGCCGCACGCATGCATACATTCGCACACAACACATACACCATACAACGCTAGTGCGCGCCTGGCGTGTTCACTGCGTCACACATCCACGACGTGTGCGCCACATAGTGGGCACCCACATGAGACACGTCCCGATATGGCCGCTATGCACGACGGTCGTCCAGGCATCGCAGGCGTGGCACTTCCTCGACACCAGAGGGGGTGCGCTGGGGGTGGGGGCCCTGTCCGTTTCGGGCTCGCAATGCGTGGCAGGCGTGGCACTTCCTCGACACCAGAGGGGGTGCGCTGGGGGTGGGGGCCCTGTCCGTTTCGGGCTCGCAATGCGTGGCAAGCGTGGCACTTCCTCGACACCAGAGGGGGTGCGCTGGGGGTGGGGGCCCTATCCGTTTCGGGCTCGCAAAGCGTGGCAGGCGTGGCACTTCCTCGGCACCAGAGGGGGTTGCGTGGGGTGTGGGGGGCCATGCCGTTTATTGTTGTTTTTTTTTTTTTTTCGGGCTCGCAAAGCGTGGCAGGCGTGGCACTTCCTCGACACTAGAGGGGGTGCGCTGGGGGTGGGGGCCCTATCCGTTTCGGGCTCGCAAAGCGTGGCAGGCGTGGCACTTCCTCGACACCAGAGGGGGTGCGCTGTGGGTGGGGGCCCTATGCGTTTCGGGCTCGCAATGCGTGGCAGGCGTGGCACTTCCTCGACACCAGAGGGGGTGCGCTGGGGGTGGGGGCCCTATGCGTTTCGGGCTCGTGGCCGGCGTGGCACGTCCTCGACACCAGAGGGGGTGCGCTGGGGGTGGGGGCCCTATCCGTTTCGGTTTCGCAAAGCGTGGCAGGCGTGGCACTTCCTCGGCACCAGAGGGGGTGCGCTGGGGGTGGGGGCCCTATGCGTTTCGGGCTCGCAGAGCGTGGCAGGCGTGGCACTTCCTCGACACCAGAGGGGTGCACTAGGGGTGGGAGCTCGTATCTTGTCAAGAACTGTAAACGCCTTGGCTCCAGCCGGCTCGGCGCGTCTGCGCTCTCACGCAGGCGCGCTCCTTTAGTCCTACTTCAGAGCACCGCCCTTCCTGCGCGCGGCAGTAATGCCGCCTCAACTTGCCATGGACGCTCTGCCGCCTCCGTGTCTGGCGATGAAAAACGCCATGGTTCTGACGAGCGGCGAGGCCAGTGTGGAGAGCTCGCGCCGATGCGCAAGCGGAGTGGTGCTCTCCGCATTCAATGCGTACCGCCGCCAGCTTCATAATTGGT